TAGCATAGTGCCTAAGGCACTTGACTGCTAACCAGAAGGCTGGTGGTTCAAACCTACCAGCCACTCCTCAAAAGGAAGATGGGGCAATCTACTTCTGTAGTGATACTGCCTCGGAAACCCAAGGAGGGGTCACTATAAGTTGGGGCTGACTCAATGGCACATAACAACAACAACAACAACAGCCTGGATGTATGGATTCTTCAACTCATTGTAATTGGCTCCTTTTAGTGTCCTCCTCCTCTAGGAGTGCCTTAGTGGTGCAAATGGTTAATGCTCTTGGCTTCTAACCAAAAGGTTAGAGTTTCAAGTCCACTCAGAGGCACCTCAGAAGAAAAGCCTAGCAATCTATTTCAAACCAGTCACTGAAAACTCTAGGGAGTTCTATTCTGAAACAAATGGGCTCATCGGAGGCAGAGTTGACTTGATGGTAGCTGGTTTGTTCATTTTTTGGTATCTCCTCTGAGCAGGTAAAGGTGCCCATTTTGTAGGTCATGTTTCTGTTGACAAGTGTTCACCAACAGCATGAGAGAACAAAGGCAGAAAAAAGAACACAGATAAACCTTGAACGTCCAGGCATCTGATTCATTTTTTCCTTCCTGGACAAACACAACCCTAGAATGAAGAGAAAGATGCAATGGAAAAAAGAAAAAATAGGAAGAAGGGCTAGAGGAGAGGGCAAATCACATACTTCTACAACTCTGTTTCTCAGAACTTGGATTCAAGTGAGGGACTCTAAATCAAGAATTGCATTCATTCAACAGATGTTTATTAACTGCTTATTTTATGCCAGGCACTGTGCCCAGGGCTGGCAAGGGGATTAAGAAAACAAACTCAGGTGAACAGAGAAGACACACTTAATAGATGTGATGAGTGTCACAGAGGAGGTTGGCAGAATGTTCTGGAGGAGCTCATTAGAAGAGTGTTGGCCAAATCTAACTGGGAGATCAGAGTCTCTCTAGCTCCTTAACTAGACTGTAACCTTTCCTGAAGTCACACACTGTTCCTTCTGCCACACACCCTGAAAGAATGTATCTAATTCTGTGCACTCAACTTTTTTTAAGCAGAAGAATCCTTCCTTCAAAGAAATCTTACCTGGAAGCCCAACCAATAAAGCAGGAAAAAGGGAAATGACTTTCCTTTTGGTTGAAGTAGAGGTAAAAGCCCTGGGGTTCTATCTGAGTAGGTCTCTTCCCAGCCCCTTGCCCCTTTTCTCACCCTTTGTGATGCATAAGAGTTTCAGAGCTTAAGAGTTCCAGAGAGAAGTTTCAAAGCCACCAGATCTACTGAAGGCATTCCCTCCATTTACGGATGGGAAAATGAGGTCCAAAGAAGTTAGAGAGACCTGTTCCTTTCTTTTATATCCCCCAGAACACTTAACACAGGTACCATAAAACAAAGACATGGTATCAGTGTGAATAACTGATGTGAAATATCAGGGTATAGTAATAAGAACATGAACTTTGTTGTCAAAGGTGCCTAGATTAAAGTACAGTGAAACCTGTGAGAGCTGGAACCTGAGTAAGATGGAAACCTTTCAGAGAAGGAAAACTCAAATATTTTCCACTAATACAAGGTGATAGAAAAGAGGTAAGATTGCACCCTATCAAAAGCGAAAACTTGCGAGACCTGGAAAAACAAGGCAGTCTCATCAAGTTCCAGCTCTCACAGGTTTCACTATACTAAATATGCCAGTTAATAAATATGCATCCTTAGGCAAGTCCCTTAACCTCTCTAGGCCTCAGTTACCACATCAGTAAAATGAAAAGAACAATACTTCCTTCATAGGGCTTTCATGAGGGTGAAATATGTTTGCAGTAACAATAAAATAATTATCATCATGATTTTTCTTTAAAGAGAATCATCTATTGGTGATGGAAAATTGGGCAACAGATATGGGTAATGGATGCATGCCATGATTAATGTAACCAATATCACTGAATTGTACATGCAAAAATGTTGAATTGGGAAATGTGGTGTCATAAGTGTACATATATATACACTTCAAAACAATTTATATATATATATATATATATATATATAGGAAGCTCTGATAGCATAGTGCCTAAGGCACTTGACTGCTACCAGAAGGCTGGAGCTTCAAATCCACCAGTCACTCCCTGGAAGGAAGATGGAGCAATCTACTTCCGTAGTGATACTGCCTCGGAAACCCAAGGAGGGGTCGCTATGAGTCGGGACGGCACATAACAACAACAACAACATATGTTGTTGTTGTTGTTATGTGCCGTCGAGTTGGACCCGACTCATAGCGACCCCTCCTTGGGTTTCCGAGGCAGTATCACTACGGAAGTAGATTGCCCCATCTTCCTTCCGAGGAGTGGCTGGTGGGTTTGAACCTCCGGCCTTCTGGTTAGCAGTCAAGTGTCTTAGCCACTATGCTACCAGAGCTCCCCCATATATACAATAAATAAATAGACAAAGAGAGACAATTACAAAGAAGAAAATAATTAATTGATCTGTAATGAATCAAAAATGAGAAAAAGTCACTTCAGAATTCTTCCCTCTGTTAATGTCCAGCACTCTGTCTAGTCAAATGAGACTAAAGATAACCTTGGATGGTGGTTTACAAAAAAATAAATAAATTTACCTAGCCAAAGGCTGGCATTTGTACAACAAAACCCGTTCACTTCTCTCTTTGCATGTCTCCTCTCTTGCCCCTTAGCCCTTCTCTAAGTATGCGTATGCATGTACCTTTGGGCTCCTCTGGTATTACATGCAGCATCACCTCTTTTTTGAACACCAGGCTCTCCATTTCAAGGCGGATTTCGCAGATATAGGTTCCTTGGTCAGCTGTTTTCACATCTTGGAGCAGGAGAGAACCATCATTGCGTGAGGTGTCCCCCACCAAGTGCGCACGATTCTGAAAGCGCCCCAGAGGCACGCTGAGATTGGCATAGTAGTATAGCACATAATCATTCTGGAAGGCAACACAATGTTGAGGAAATCAAAAGTGAGATGTACCAGACCTGGATTCAAAAGACTCTGTCATATGGATGCAGCCTAGCCATCATCATCTTCTAATCAAAAAGTACTTGTACCCAGTTAGTAATAATAATAACGTGCCAGGTAATATTCTAACTTGTAAAAGGCTCTGTGATTCATTTTTTGCAAAGACAAATGGAAAAATGTGGCCCATATGTAACACCACTCTGAAGATTTACTGGGATTCAATTCACCGGGTAAGACTGCACCCTGTCAAAAGTGGATTCACTGGGATTCACACTCATAACTTTTGAAAACCATCTCCCTTTTTCACCTTGTTTTCTGCCCTGGCCCCCAGAAGAGATGGCATTCAAATGTATGGCACAGTAGGGTAACATGAAGATTCCCTGTGTACTGGCTGTTGTTACGCCTCTTCTTCCTTCCTCCTCAAGGCAGCAGAGCATAATGGAAGAGAAGGAATTATTAACACGGAATGATTACAGGCTGGAGCACAGACCCTGGGAAATTCTTATTTCTCCTTACACAAATTTGAGTGAGAGTTGTTTTATAGGAAGAAGTTCCTGGATGGTGCAAATGATTAAGCACTCAACCACTAGCTGAATGGTTGGTGGCTGGAAACGACCTGAGGTACCTTGGAAGACAGGCCTGGTGATATGTTTCTGAAAGGTCACAGCCTTGAAAACCCCATGGAGCAGTTCTTCTCTGCACACAAGAGCTGCCATGAGTCAGAAGCAACTCAACAGCAGCTAACAACAACAATAGCTTGATAGGGATAACATGGAATATGCTTTGAGATTCAAAAACAATTTCATTTGCAAACTTTGGGACTTCATTGTTGATAACAAATTACTTGGGCATATTTCCCAAATGATCCTGAGATACAAGTGTTTCCATGGAATCTCTGCTGAGGCTTAATACATTGTTTCCTCCTCCAAAGAATTCCCATGAAAGACCCCTCACCCAGCCATACTGCATCTGCTAATCCCAATACTATAAACAGCTCCGATGGAGGAAAAAGATCTTTCCTAGCACATGCATGGAGTGATGGGATACTAAAGGAATTTGCTCCTGCTCACCAAAATAAGATTATTGTAATACACTCCTTAGGCACAGGCCATAGGTCTTCTGTCTCAATCACAAGAAGCATCTCTCTCACCTACTCATGCCGCTCTACAAAGGCGGAAGGACAAAGAGGAAGGAAACGGAAAGAACTTTATGTGCACTGCCTACATCAGCCTCTCAACAACCTAACTGAACATTATAATTCTGACAACAGCCTTTGCCTTCACAGATCAGAAAGCTGAAGCTCAACATGGTTGAATAACTTGCTCAGCTGATTGATCACAGCCAACTGGCCAAGGCTAAGAGGAAACCCAGTTCTGACAGTCTTCAAAACCCAAGCTCTTACAACACCATCACAAAGCACCTGACAACTAGATTCTCCCTCTACCCCACTAGCATAGAGTGAGTGTCCTCTTCCTTACCTTGGTATCTTCTTCTGATGAAAACATCCAGTCCACCTTGGTCACACGTTTCTGTTCTGTGCTATGGAAAATGCATTCCATCAGGACTGAATCACCCACATGGACTGTTAGGTCAGGGCTGGGAACAATCAAGTCATGCAGGCCCAAGGAGTAATCTATAGAAGTCAAAGGCAAGAGAACATATCATCTAGACAAATATCCTCAACAAAAATGGGTATCAAACACTAATACACACTTCCCCTCCCTTAGATAATCCAACTCCACAAAGTTCCCAGAGTTGCTTCTTACTCAAACCAATGTCCCCAAGGTCAAGAGAAATATCCTCAAGTCATCTACATGGCTCAAGTCAGTGAGTCCTGCAATCTCCATATTGTAATAAATGCCATCTGGTTCCCTTCTCCTGTCTAGTCCCTTCCCTTTTTCTAGACTATCTCCCCCCCATCCACACTGTCACTCACACACACACACACACACACACACACACATCCTTTCTAAGGAAAGAAGTGGGGAAACCTTGAAGGCTCTCCCTTCTGGACAGAGGTTTGGACATCCACATCTGCTTACCACAAACAGGAAATAGAATGTCTCTTGCTCTTCATTTCCTACTAGCTCCCTAAGTGAAAAGGCAATTCACAGGTTTGTTCCATTTTGTTTTCTGTTGTCCACACCCCCTTTCTTTTCTCATGCTTTTTAAAAGCTTATCTCTGAATCTTTTGGCTGAAGAGTAGGTCTTTGTAATTAGGCCAGTGCCAAGCAAGCACAGCTTTCCCCGTGAATTTCCTCTGTGTTGATCCTCTCTCTGCCTTGCTCCCTCCAGCTTTGCCATCAGCCCTGGGTTTTCAACATCTAGGCATCTCTTCCAGTCTCTTTGCATATATTGCCTGACCCCATTATCTGTACACTGGTCAAGTAAGTCCAAGAGGTCACCAAAAGAGAAAACCATTAAATGAACGTTTCTGTGTTCATAGTATATGCTCTGTACAAACAGACAAGAAAATCAAGACAGACACATATAGATCTGCCTGTTTCAGATCAGAGAAGAGCCAAGTAAACGCATATGGGAATAAACAGAAAATGTGCCAGGCTTTTCATCCAAGCTGTTTCCCCGAGAGAAGAGAGTTAACTTCCTGCCCCAACAGCAGGCATACCCAGCAGGAAAGATGTAAAAGAATAAATGAACTCTAAACCCTTTAGAGAGAATTATTTTGAAAGAAACAAAAATTAGCTCCACACGTTATTTGGAATTTTACTGTAAAAAAGAACTGAGCAACTACATATGGTTTAAAGTATCGTTGTGGTTAGATGCTGTTGAGTCAATTCTAACTCATAGCAACCCTGTGTACAACAGAACAAAACATTGCCCAGTTCTTGACCATCCTCACAATCCTTGCTATGCCTGAGCCATCGTTGCAGTCACTGTGTCAATTTATCTTTTTGAAGGTCTTCCCCTGTTTCTCTGACCCTCTACTTTACCAAGCATGATATCCTTCTCCAGGGAATGGACCCTTCTGACAACATGACCGAAATAGGTCAGATGAAGTATAGCCATTCTCGCTTCTAAGGAGCATTCCAGCAGCACATGATATAGGAAGCTAACAATTTAATGTTAAAGGACTATGTGTAGAATTAAGGGAAGGACTGCTAGAGAGCAGCAGCGAAGACAAAGGGAAACATACCAGGGAGCAACAGCAAAAAGGGAAACTGATACCTGAAGGATGATCTCTGTAGATAAATGGCTGCAAAACAAGAGACTTTCTACAGAGGAGGAAAACTCCACAAAAAAAAAAAAAAGGGAAAAAAAACAAGATGCCACCTAGCCACTATCTATACGGATTAGATCTGTTAACTCTCTGGTTTGTTGTTGTTGTGTGCTGTCAAGTCAGACCTGACTCATAGCAACCCCTCCTTGGGTTTCCGAGGCAGTATCACTTTGGAAGTAGATTGCCCAACCTTCCTACCAAGGAGTGGCTGGTGGGTTTCAACCGCCAGCCTTCTGGTTAGCAGTCAAGTGCCTTAGGCACTACGCTACCAGAGCTCCTATTCTCTGGTTAGAAGAGCAAAAACCTGCAGGCTGCTTCATGGACCTGGGGGGAAAATGCCTAAATACCCTTTGAGATGATTATAATTCTGCCTCTATGGGGGGGGGGGACATCTTCACGTGTTGGGTTGTGTGTATGTTTGTGTGTGTGTTTGTATGTGTGCTTGCATGTGTGTTTGTGTGGGCTTGTATATGTTTGTGTATATTTGTTTGTATATGTCTGTGTGTGTATAGATGTATGTGTATGCATGTATGTATGCATGTTTGTGTACACTATATTGCCTGGAATTAGAGCAAAGGCAATCATTTGGTACATTTTGCTTAGCTGATGTTTAGATCAACATCTGCATGTCAAAAAATAATAATAAAGAGAAAAATAAAAGGCTATGGGAGAAAAGCACCTAACTGATTTCTTGTTCTTGCAGCACTGTATGCATAGAATAGAGAGAAAAGAATGAAATTATTAGTGGTACTGAATGACAAGCAGTCCTGGACCCTGAGGTCATAGGTAAGGAGAAACAGGAGCCTCCCACTTAGTGGGAGGAGGCATCCAGGGCAGGCTTCTTAGAGGAGTGCAGCCTAAGAGGAAACCTGAAGGCCCAGAAAGCCTTGGCTGACCAGATGAGGTGAGGTGGAGGGAGTGGGGTGGAGGGGCTCCAGGCAAAGGTAACTACCCCAAATTGTGGAAGACCACGACGCAATTGAGGAAGTGCAAGAAGATTTGCGTGGCTAAAATGTGAGAACAAAGAGCAGGACCTGGGACTCCTGTAATTTCAGTTCCCCATCTGGGGATTAGCTGTGGTTTTGAAGACAACAACTGGAAGTACAGAAGCACCATAGGAAAACTTTGTATCACACAGGAGGGTCTCAGAATACCCAATAGGGCTCAAAGGCAACCATTTCTTATAGAGAAAAGGAAGATTCAGCTTTCCAAGAAAGACTCTGTTCCATGGTTTCTCAAACAGTTGTTTCAGCAAAACGATGAAATTCTAGGTTTAGTTTTCCATTTTCAACAAACCAAGGGGAATTGAAAATATACAAAATTGGCTTTTTAAAATGCATGTGATTTTTGAGAAATTAAATACTTCCTCAGTCCCTTGGCTTGCACCTACCTAATAACATCAGCACCAGGATGAAATTCAGTGGGCAAAACATGCCGCTTTGAGTTGTTCAATCTTAAAGGAAAAGGAAAAAACAAAAAATCAGAAATGGTAACAAGCAAGTTCATTAATATATCAAATCAGTAGTGACTATTCAATGGGCCAGACTTCACTTGAGGCGCTGGGATGCAGATTGAACAAGACCAAGTCCCTGCTCACGTGGAGTTTATATGTAGGAGGGTGGTAAAACAAGAAGGAAATGAATGAATAAGAAAATACCAGATATTGAAAATTGCTCAAATGAATCAAACAGAGGTGTTTGGAGAGTCATCTGGAGGCTATTTTAGATTGTCCAGAGTCCCTGAGTGATGCAAACTATTAATGTGCTCAGGCAGTAACCAAAAAGTTGGAGGTCTGGGTCCACTCAGAGGTATTCTGGAAGAAAGGTACTTACTTTAAAAAAAAATCAGCCAATGAAAACCCTAGAGAATATAGCTCTACTCTGACACCTAAAGGGTTGCCATGAATCAGATTCAGCTAGATGGTAACTAATTGTTTAGATTGGTTCATTGGGGAGGTTAGAGGAAAGTTGCTTTTCAAGAGAAAAAAAGCAAGTAGTGTGTAAGGCATTTGGCTGCAACCCAGAAGGGCCTCAGTTCAAACCCACCAGCAGCTCCAGAGGAAGATGATGAGGCTATCCACTTCCATAGCTTTACAGCCTTGGAAACCCAATGGGGGTTACTATGAGTCAGAATTGACTCAATGGCAGTGGGTCTGGTTTTTGGTTTTCTTGAGATAGCACTAGACATTCCACAACCTGAGAGTTTCACATTAAAAAAAAAAAAAAAAAAAAATTACAGGATACCCAGCCTGGAATGTTTAGTTATCTCCCCAATTAAATTAGAATTGCTGCTTTTAAACAAAGGAAGACTATTCAGGGCATTTGAGAAAGGAGATGTACAAATAAGGGGAAAATTTTAAACTCAGTTAAGATATTAACCAAGTCCTATGACATTATGATATAAAGATGCTATATGGCAAGCTTTTTTTTTTTTTTTAAACTTTTGTAGGCAAGGTGGCATCAGTAGAATGAAAATTGGGCCATGCATGGGCAAAAGTATTTTTTTTAATGTTTATATTATCTCATATAATATTCATATTATCTAATTTCACTGCATTTACTAGCTCCTGTGAAAGGATTCACTGTTTAACACAATATCCCAACATCTGTTTAGCTAAACAGAAGTACTCTAACTTCAAGGACTACAATTCAACCAGCCTTGGGTTCCTATCTACTACTGTGCCTGGTCTCAGCCATGATCCCTGTCTCCCTAACCAACTTGGCACTGGAAGAATCCACCTCAGAAATCTACTGGGGGGAAATGTCTTTTTAGTGCATAAACAGCAAATGAGGAGTTCTGGTGGTACAGTCAGAAAAGCATTCATCTTCTAATCAAAAGTTCAGTGATTCAAACCCATCGCTGCCTCACAGAAGAAAGATGAGGTAGTCTGCTTCTGTAAAAATTACAGCCTTGGAAACCCTGGGGCGTAGCTCTACCCTGTCCTAAAGGGTCGCTATGAGTCAGAATGGACTTGATGGTAGTGAGTTAAAACAGCATAACACCCCACTCAGATCTGACAGGAAGTCTGACACATTCTTCCATTTTAAGACTCAAAAATGGTAACCATTTAAATTTTGAAAACATGATCACATAAGAGATTCCTTGCCTATGGTCTAATCAACAAACTCCTCCATCTGGAAAACCAAGGTCAAACTTTTCAGAGATCCTACCCTAGGCTCCATTTACTCATACAAGTCTGTTGACCTTGCTGAACCTTGGTTTCCTCACCTATAAAATGGGAATGAATAATGATGCAAGAATCAAATATAACGTTAAAGTACTTTGAAACATAGAAAGCAATTCCATATAAGGCCCTATTTTTTATAACTTATTAGATAGAAAACAGAGTTTATAGCTTCAGGGGAGATACTGGGTTCTGAGCTTATACTTTTTATATGAATGATAAGTGATTACTCAGAATGAACTGGAAACATTGTTTCCATTTTTGAATTCCATTCTAAAATTGTAGATATTAATTACACTCAGCCAGATATACCAATAGTCATACTAATTTCTCCAAAACATAAGTGTTGTTGTTGTTGTTGTTAAGTGCCGTCGAGTCGGCCCCGACTCATAGCGACCCCTCCTTGGGTTTCCGAGGCAGTATCACTACGGAAGTAGGATTGCCCAACCTTCCTTCCGAGGAGTGGCTGGTGGGTTTGAACCGCCAGCCTTCTGGTTAGCAGTCAAGTGCCTTAGGCACTATGCTACCAGAGCATAATGAAAACATGGATTTCTCTCAAAATAGCCATACCCCTATTCCTGCTCCATCTCCCCCCATCACCCCACATACTCATGGGTTAGGATTATAAAGGGCTTCCTTTAGAGCATGTCATAACCTTAATTATCATATCTGGGACATCTGAGATCACTGTCACCTTCTGCATAAATCCTCCCCAGAGAGTCAGTTGTACTCCTTGCTCTGCCCAGCAAGCAGCACTTGTATATTCTCCAGAGCTCTGTATCATTTGCATGGAAGTGTGGGAGTTTTGGGAGTCCTTGGGTGGTAAAAATGGTTAATACACTTGGTTGCTTACCAAAAGGTTGGAGGTTGGAGTCCACCCAGGAGTGCCTTGGAAGAAAGACCTGGAAATCTACTTCCAAAAAATCAGCCACTGAAAATCCTAGCAAGCACAGCTCTACTCAGACACACAGGGGGTCACCATGAATCAGGCTGACTTGATAGCAATTGAAAAGGGGTATGATTTGTTTACATGTCTGACACCAGCCCCTACTCCAGTCTGTACATTCTCAAGGGCAGGACCATGTATGTCTTGTTTATATTGGTGTCTCATTCTTGTGCTACAGCACCTAGGAAAGTGCCTGGCACACACTAGATATGCTGATAGCTGCCAATTTAACCAGTAAATTGAAACCAACTTAGAGACATCCTATACCAATCTATTCTAAGAGGAAACCAGTGACCCCATAAAGACTCTCAATCTAGTCACCAAATTTGAGGCACTCAGAGCTACACCCCAACCATTTTCAAATTGGAAGAAATGTGCAAACAATCCCATTTTCAGCCCTAATAGCCAAATGCACCGTTACTACTCTGTGTGAGTGAATAGAAAAGCGGTCATGTGACTGGAAAAAGCACTGAATTAGAGTCATGTGTATGTATGTGTGTGTGTATATATATATATATATCTTCCAGGGTCAGACCTCCATTAATTAGCTAACTCTTTGATCTTTGGGAAATCACTCAATCTCCCTGGGCCTCATCCTTAACATTAAAGGGTCAGACTAGTTTTTTGGCCTAGTTAATAGACACCACACTAGAAATCAGTAGCTGGTATGCAATAAACCCAAGAAGGTTATATGCCAGTCACTGTCAGATTGCTATACACATCAACTCAACTCATTTAATCCTCATAACCACCCTGTGAGATTTTACAGATGAAGAAACTGTGGTACAGATTGGTGAAGAAACATGCCTGAGAACATATAAAGGCAAAGGCCAGGCTTCAAACCCTGGCAGTATGGCTTCAGAGCCTGTATCCTTTCTATACACTATACTGCTTCTCCATGCTTGTGAAAGGAAATATTTTACAGCAAAGTTCCTCTGAATTTAAAACAAAACTAATCAGCTCCCACTGACTGGAATGCTCTTCCCAACCCCATCATTCACCTCTTCACCCAGTTAGCTCCTGTTAATTTTTCAAATTTCAAGTTCAATGTCATCTTCTCAGGAGAACTATCCAAACCAAGTCAGAGCCTCTAGCCACATGTTTTAATAGTACTCTGATGCAATTGACTGCTAACCAGAAGGCTGGCGGTTCAAACCCACCAGCCACTCCTCGGAAGGAAGGTTGGGCAATCTACTTTCATAGTGATACCTCCTTGGAAACCCAAGGAGGGGTTGCTATGAGTCAGATCCAACTTGACGGCACATAACAACAACATCTTTCTTTTATGGCATTTGTCACAATTTATAGTCATCTATTTACTTGTGGGCTCATTTAATTAAACTCTTGCTCTCCACCCTCACCCCCAAGACTATAAGCTCCTTCAAGCCAAGAGCTGTGCCTGTGCAGCCAGTATCCAATCAGTCTTCAGAAGCACCTTATACACCTTGAGAACAACAGAGTTTCTACCTGTTTTCTACCCTGCTTTCTCCCTCTCTCCAGTACAGACTTATCCCCACAGATTTTCCTCTGATAACTCTGCATAATAAGTTATCTCATATGTTGCCAAAAACGTTTTGTCCTGGGCTCATGGCTCTTTCACAATATAACTCCATCACTATTGAGAGGACTGTAATTATCAGAACCCCCTTTCCTATTATTAACAGTGTAGGGGAATTGTTATCCTTGATATAATTATGCCAGGGGCAAAAAAATCCTCAAAAAGTAAAAGACTCAAGGCAGTGAGACCACCATAGGATGTGAAAACAACCCCAAAATATTACAGACTCACAGTAAAAAAATAAAAACACCAAATCTTCCCCAGGGTCACAGGATATAACTTATCCAAATTTACTCACTGTAAAGTTATACAGACGAAAAGTAGGGAGATGCCTGTCCCTCATAAGGACAACCAACCACTAAACAAATAACTGCAAAGTCTTCATTGCTCACCCGGTCCACTCCACGTTGCTGTGAACCTCCGGGCTCTCAGATGTTGTTAGGTATACAAGTCCACATAATTACTCCCTTCAATATCATTTAATACAGACTGACAGTTCACAGGGCTTCTTAAACATAACCCAAGTTACATCAGTCAATCTTGTACTTGAAGAGAACCTTGGAGGTCATCACTCTTGGTCCCTCCTTCAGCCTAGGATATACCTAAACCATCACACATCAGTTTCTCCTCATATCAGAAACAAGCAGAGGGTGCAAAAAATATAATGGACAATAATCTAGCTCTCTTAGAAAGTTTAAGTTTCTGGATCCTAAAGATTAAATATGCTTGTCTAGGATTGGAAGAA